CAGAATTCGTTAATATTTGTTTATGTATTTTTATTTTTTTGCACTAAGTAATCCCAAAATACAAGAATTTGTATACACACCATCCACTGATACACATACAATAGTAATGCTAATCTACTCGGTCTCCTCCATTTGGCCACAGGTTCTCATCCACATCACATCTCATGTCATCTAGGGCAACACACCTAGGAAAGAATCTTCTGGCTGCCAGAATTGAAGGAGTTGAAAGATTGAAGGAGTAACACCTGTGTAGATGTTCATCTACAATGAGAATCAGCTGTGGCTGGTTAAACTGCATTTTTAGATTTAAAATATGTTTCAATAAAATATTGCTGTTGCATTTTGCTGTCTTTTTAAGTTTTGCATTGTGTTATTGTTTTGGCCATAAGTTTAACAGTTTTGAAAACAGTATGTAAGCACATGCAAAATGTCCTGTACGTACAAAGATTTTTGGCAGTTGTTGTGTCTGAGTGAGAAAATAATTCATGAAATTTGAGAGATGTAGTCATTGAATGCATTTTGTGCCAAAACAATGATAACTGGTCCTCAGTTTAGCCCACATAGACTTCTGTTGTGCTCACTGTGTGAGGAGTTTTGCAAACGTGACCTAAGTATTGAGACATGTGTCCTAGCGTCTGTAAAAAACTGTAACATCTAATACAGGCTCTTTATCGTTAACCTAACAGATGTCACACCTGTAAGCTGCATGTTTTGGTGTTTTCCTTTTTTTATTGGTCACATGGTTTCCAGAGCGCACTTGTGGAGAGAGGTGGTGTGGTGTATGTGTGCCACACTTAACTGCCATCACATTAATTAAAGGCTGTGCCAGTCTGACAAGTTTGTGGACTTTATGTTATATGTGGTAAACAGACAAACTGTCAGACTATGCTTCAATAAACACTCACGTCAGGTTTAGTTAAAAAAAAAGAAAAAAGCATCCACAGTGTTAGGAGTCATGCTGCTCTCCTGCAAGTGCAGCGCAGAGAAGTGACAATCTGCCAAAAAAGTGATGTTTGTTTGTTTTAGGTTGTTTTTAATGTGCAAGACCTTTGCTTATATTGTTAAATAAGCTATTGTCAACATAATTCAATCAATTCAATTTTATTCAAGGGGCTTTATAATGTAAGATAAAGACCCTGTAACAATACAGAGAGAAAAGAGAAAACCCCAACAGTTGGATGCCCCCTATGAGCAAGCACTTTGGCGACAGTGGGAAGGAAAAACTCCCTTTTAACAGGAAGAAACGTCTGACAGAACCAGGCTCAGCTGCAAACCACTCCAGTGAAGGTCACATTCTGATGAAGCCAAACGAACCAACCAGGACAGAACCTGCTTTGCTGCACCTGGGTCCAAGTTTCAACAACTGACCTCCTTTCCTGGAACAAACCTTCTCCAACAGCATGTAATACCCTGACAACTGGAGCTCACTCTCTGGTCCCCCTTTTTGAAAATGGGAATCACCATCCTGGTTTGCCAGTCCACAGGCGCTGTGTCAGACCTCCACGTCTCATTAAAGGCGTATGTCAACCAAGGCAGTATCCAGAGCCTTTAGCATCTCAGGGTGACCTTCATCTAAACCTGTCGTCTTGCCAACAGGGAGCTCTCTTTACCCAAGTGTCCAAAGCATACAGCCTCAGATCAGATGTTGCAGTCTGTGTAGGACAGAAGTCCAAAAGCATCCCCTCAGCACCTAACACCATCGGATACTCCAGAAAAGGACAAATCCAGAGTCCCATCTGCCAGACTTTTGTTCCAAAACTCTTGGTACCTGTGGAGGTGAGACAAACTACATCTAGTCAGTAGTGGTCCAGCTCACATCCCGAAAACCATTCTGCGATACTGGGGGTCCACATGCCCAGCCTCCCACCTTATCCTACCACCCACGTCACACTGCACCTGATCATAATTGATATCCAGGGAGACTACAGAACACTAGTGGATTTTTTTGTGAAGTGGCCTGAGAGAAATCATCTGAATGTGAATAAAACCAGAGAAACTGTGAGGGAACCTCAGAGGGAAGAGGACACATACACTGTGTCTGTGTTGAGACATAATATTAATGTGGTGGAGGAGTAAAAGTACCTGGACATCCACATGGACTGAGGCAGGAAGTAACAAAGTACAAATACTTCTCAGGTATTTTCAGGTACCTTACTGGAAATACTTACTTACTAGTTATTTTTTGACAGCCTTTCACTATTACTCCCTGCATTTTAACACAAATATTTGTACTTTCTACTCCTTACATTTTGAAAACAGGCTAGTTACTTTAGGCTCAGCGGTATCGTCTAGTGTTTATACTCAGTGGTTAAAGTGGACGGAACAAGTGCAGCTATGTTGGAGCCAGCTTCTAGCTAGTGCTACAGAAGAGGAATGAGTCCAGGGTGTAACGTTTCTTATGTTTGACATTTCTATCTATCAGCTCTATCTATCAACAAACATCAGCAAACACACAAACTAGGGATGCAACAATACCAATTTTTTCAAACCGATACAATACCGATACTTGGATCTGAGTACTTGCAGATACAGAGTACAAAAACCGATACTTCTACCACACACATACATGCAATGAATTGGAAGACAGGTTTTATTTTATTCTCTGCCGATAAAAAATAAAATCTTAATAAAAATGACCACAAAAAAATTTCAAGTGAAAAATAAGCACTTCTGTTAAATTATTGCAGAGTCTCCACATTGTAATTTAAATACCACTGAACTATTGGCACTGTCTCGAGCTTTCAGAATAATAAATGAACACTTCTGTTTGGAATAAAATAAATACAAATTAGGTTTGAGAATAAAATAAA